AATAGAGAAACCTAGATCCAAGCTTTAGGGTTTTCATGAGCACATAGGATGTTCTTTTGGCTCAAACCCATCAATATTATATATACATATTAATGGAATTAGAATTTGGGGGCTAGGGTTAGGGTTAGGGTTAGGGCTAGCAGCCATGAAATATAGCACACTGATTGTTGTTCAGAACATGTTCATAGTTATGAACTCTGTAATGGAACTATAAATGGTGAAATGAGATCGAGAGGCGCTTGTTCGGCCTTAAGAATGTCAACGATATCAGTTGCGTCTCTAGGAAGTTGGTCCAGAGCCACTCGTACCTCCTCCTCCGAGTTCTGTACCGAAATATAGACACAAGCCATTGACTCGAAATTAGGTTTTTGCTCCCATCGACAGTCACAGAGCGCCGGAATCTGATTGTCGTCGGAATGTTATATAAGGATTTTTCAAGGTTTAACAGTGAGGATGGGGTGAGAGAGCTGCAAATGGTGATGGTGGATGAAGTGTTGGTCGAAACGCCGGTACATCGTCGTCGTGCAGGCCTGAAGAGTCGGTGTGGGTTGGAGGTAGTGGAGGTGGGTGAGGGGCGGAGACGAAGGAGATGAGATATTAGAGAACAGATCGAAACAAATGAAGGAGAAGAAAGCGGGGTTTAAAATTTTTGGGGATTTCATTTTCCCTCTAAGAAGAGAGACGCGCGTTTCTTAAAAAAATATAAAACGACATTCACAGAGGACGCACATTTTAGATAAAGTGCCCTCCGTGTTTTTAATTTTTTTACATGAGACACTAATTTAAGGGCACGCAATAATGCGTGACCTAAATCATTAAATTTTTTGAAGATATGACACTTTTTTAATGTCACTGTCTTTTGCGTAACATAAATCAATGAGTGTCGTGGTTTGCGCCTCGTAAAAGGGTCTTTTTCTTGTAGTGCCCCCTTCAACTGTAAAAGGTGCAGGTGGGTGGCGGAAGCAAAGTCAAGATGATAAAGAAACTCATACCACAACAGAGGCCATATTGGTAACTTTAAGTGGGTAATGAAGGATCAAAAGGTTTAAAATGCAACCCTTGGTAGAATGTTATCTAGGGTTGTGTTTGATTTTGATGTGGTGCAAGTTTTTCGAAGAGAGAGAGAGAGAGAGAGAGAGAGAGAGAGAGAGAGAGAGAGAGAGAGAGAGAGAGG